TGATGACTGGAGACACACAGGACAAGAATCCAGTGGAAATAAATGCCCAGAACAATAAACACACTAATTGTAATATTGTGGAGAGTGGTTTGAAATGTTGTTGGGTTTTTATCTATTACTGCCTGTGAACCCAATGCGAAAGGCTCCCCTGATCTCCTTTTCTTGTGGCTGTAGTGCCACCTGGGACTAAAAGTAAAAAGAAATGATGGCTTTCAGCAATAAGGGATATAATGGAAACATTTTACTGTCTGTAACACCAAGGGAAATTTCCTACACTTCCAGTTCTAGTTACTGATGCCACCTGGGGCAGTGAGGATTCAAAATTTCCCCAGCAGGGACACAAACAACAATTAAAACCTGATACAGCAGGGGTAGGCAATCTTTCAGAGGTTGAGATCTACCTGGACAACATGGAGGAAATAAAGATCCCCAGGGAGAAGGAGACATCCTTTTTTTGGAAAAAAAAAGAACTTTCAAGCTCCCGATAAAAAAGACAGCATGAAGAACTAATAGCGTGACATAGTAGTGTCCTCTGCCCCCCTTGACATCACTTTCCCCACAATAGTATCCTGCACTTTACTGTGGTTGGGGGGGTCTCACTACTGTGGAGGAATGATGTAGTGGTCTTTGCCCATCTTCGCATTATACCCTCTACAGTGGTTTCCTTTGCCCTCCCCCCCACAGTAGTGGTCTCTGTCCCACTTCATATAACCCCCCACTGTAGTGTCCTCTATCCCACCCATATAGCAGTTTTCTCTGCCCCTTCACAGCACCCCCCACTTTAGTATTTTCTGCCCCTTCATGGCATAGCAGTTTCCTCTGCCCCCCCACAGTGGTGTCCTGTGACCCCCCTTAATTTTCCTCTTCCACCCATTGTAATGTCCCTTGTCCCTTTGCCCCCCCCGGCTCTGTCCTCTGCCCCTTCATATCATCCCCCCGCATACACACTCAAAGACATACCAGTGTGTAGGTAGCACCGCCCACTATCCCGTATTGTGCTGCCTCCCACTCTCTGCTCTGCAGTGAAGAAGAGAGCAGCGGAGGTAGAGGGGAAAACTAGCAAAGCAGGACTGTGTTCACGATCTACCCATCAGCTGCCCATGGTCGATGGGTAGATCGTGATTGGCGGATTGCCCACCCCCATTATGCAGCCACAGAACACAGCAGGGTACAAGGAAAACAAAGATATGGGCATTCATTTATAGATTACAGCTTGTTATAAAGGCTTCTATTTTTTACCCGCATACTTAGCTGCTTGGAATTTAGCTTTAAAGCTACATTTTAATCTGCTTATATTTCCCTTGCTTTACTATATATCAAAATGCCAATGACATTTGTTAACAGCCTTTTTGTTTTTATTAAATACCTTTTTTAAACTCAGTGATGGGTCTCTGTGTTTCTCTATACAATGCTGGCAGATTATGGTTGGTGGGTGGGGTCGGTAAGCTGCTGTACATAGCTTCCTGAAAATATCAGAGCACCCTGCCTATGTACTCTTCCCAAAAGCCTACAGCCCTGAAGCAAGCAGTGGGCTTGCTCTTTGGAAGGGTTATACAAATGTAGCACCCTCTTAGTTAACTAGGGGGAGCTGTAGCTTCAGTTGTTAGATAGAGGCTGAGTAGCAGCCTGGGTTTGATAGCCAGGTTGATCAAATTTAGGTCAGAGCTGAGAGGCTTTGCATACCAGCTCTCTGGGATTTCCCTCTGCCGTAGGACTTTGGAGAAAGCTCTTAAAGCAGTGGGAGGAGGTGAGGAGTGGCTGGCCTGTACTCTTAGAGGATCATGGCCAATCCCCAACAGGAGGCTTGGCAAGGGGTCAGGACAGCCTTTAAGAGTAAGTGAGCCTGCTTAGCAGCAGGAGAGTTGGAGGAGAGTTTGGGGTAGAAGGTGAGGAAGTGAGGCTGGAGCCTTGGAGGGGACCCAGATGGGAGAGGGGCTGAACTCCAGGCAGGAGGAACTTGCAAGGAGGAAAGCTTGGGATTTCACCCCCCCCTGAGAGAGAACCCCCCTGTGTGGCAGGGAAGGAGCGGCCCAGCTAGAAGGCCTGGTAGCAGCCACCGACTCACCAGCGACACAGGAGAAGGACTAAGTGAGGAAACCTGCACCCCCTAGGCCAGATAGGGGAAAGAGCACTCTGGTGGGAAATCAGACTACTCGGGACTGTCTTATCTCTTAAAGGGATGGGCACTGGATCCCCTGCCCAGGGATTCATCCAGAACAACTGGATAAAGGAATATCTAGGGTCTGGGGTGGTACAACGGGAGATACTGGCTAGTTCTCCAAGAAGAGGATTTTTATATTTTAACTTGTATATAGTTTCAGGAAGTTGTCCTCAGTTTCACAGTTCCATTGGGCATCCCATACAACCCTATTATTATTAATCAAATCAACTAATAGAACTTCAAAACAAGCTCAAGGACTGGTTACTGTCTCCTGCATGCAAGTTATTGGGAAAATACGTGTTGCCTGGCTGAGCAGGACTATAGGTGGACCCAAAACGTCAGTGACTCCTAAGAGGGTAGTGCTACACAAATACCAAAAAGCATGTCCACATGTGCCTCACTGATTGAAACAACTGAAATCTAATGAGTAATACCAAGGCCAAGGACAGTAAGGCTGCGAAGGAAAGAGCTAGATGATGTAAAAATCCCTCCAGCAAGGAAATTGCCACAGCTTCTAATCCACACTGTAAGAAGTTCACAGTGTGCAGTGAAATCAGAGTAAGCAATTTTAATACATCAGAGGATTCTGTACAACTGTGCAAGGTTGAAGGTAAGGACCAGAGTTCAGCTTTAAAATGAGTAGCACTGAGCAATATTTATCTTTCAAATGGTCCAATAAGATATATCAATCATGACTTTAGGAAAAACAAATCTTTTATTTGTGTGTCTAACTGCCAGAAATACATGTAAACAAGTGTGGAGTTTTGTGTCCATGTCATGTTACAGTCAAGTAGCTGAGAACCAGGATAAAAGTTCAGTTCTCATTGTAATTTGCAGACTTTTCTGCTTTGCTATGCGTAAGGTAGAATGCTGCAAATTAGAAGCCCCCCTATTGCTTGAAAAGTAAAGTGTTAATTGTTAACATCTGTCATTTTAAAAGTATACTCTGCCTTTGGTTAGGCCAAATTGCCTCTTAACAAAGAAATCTGCTAAACTCTATTTGCATCTAAATTGGTAACATAAAACTGCATAATCTTCTGTGGAAAATACTACTGTTTATGAAGTCCCTAAAACTCCTAGCGGCCAAACACGTGTGAAAGAATTTTAAAAGTTATGGTCTATGTCTGACTTCTAGCCCTCAGTATGTAATAGATGGGAAATATATGGTCAGTCATAGATGGGTAGATCACTGAGAATAGGTAGTAACAGTTCTGACTGGCTTCAGTGGTTTCACCAGGGATGGTGTCACCTGGTGAGGTAAAACATGGTGTCACCTCAACCCCCCCATGGAAATGATACAAGAGATAGCCAGAGATAGTGGACATGACACAACAGATGGTTAGAGACTGCGGACATGATAGAAGAGATGGTTAGATGCTATGGACATGATACAAGAGATGGTAAAAGACTGTATGGACATGGTACAAGAAATGGTCAATGACTGTGCTGACATGATACAAGAGATAGCCAGAGATTGTGGCCATAGCCATGCTCAAAGTGGCGTGGGAGTATCCAGCAGCCATGGATGGATGGTGTTGGGGTCTGGTCTATGGGGCTCTAGGTGGCCATGATCTCAGTGATGTGGTGGGAGTCTCCAGCAGCCATGGATAAATGGTGCAGGGCAGGAGTCCAGTCTCCGGGACTCCATGCCCATGTTACTCACAGTGGCAGGGTGGTGGGATGTTGCAGACCAGGATCTGATCTCCAGGGTGGGACTCAGGAGGCATGCCCACTGCCATGCTGCTGTGCTGCCGTTCATTCAAATATGGCGCCAAGCGGTACTATGACGTCACTGACTCACTACGCATGCTCCCACTGGGCCGAAAATGGCCGAGCACATCTGAATCCAGCCGGCTTTGCCATATTTTTGGTGGATGGTTGGCAACCCTGGTGTCACCCCCCTCTGCTGGGTGTCACACGGGTGCGTACTGCACACCTGCATAGCAACACCACTGATTGGCATTACTGGAGTTGGCATGCAGGCGGGACTCACCATGGAAAAGAAAAATGACTGGCTGTTGGATTTGTCTATATTTTCCACTATGCCAACATCTGTGTTCAGTGCTATGAGTGATTTCCATCTTGCACAGCTCGACCAACGTAACTATATAAAAATTGCAACATCTGGAATTCAGCTTTAAATTAGCACCAAAGCACATACTACTATATGCTGGGGCCTTAAGGACAGCACAATAAGTATGATCATGTTGGGCACCAGGGATTTATGGTGGCTGCACACAACCACCAAATAGTAATAAAATATGTGATCCTCAATAGTGATGATTGGGCCTTTTAAGGGAAACCACCTAGACATTCAATCAGTAGATTAACATTCCAAAGAATGGGTCCCTGTGCTGTAAGAACATCAAAGTAGATGTAAATCCTAATTGGGTGATAATTAGTTAAGCTAAAGCACAGTTTATTATAAAAAATACTTGTTTTCAACTTTTATCATCCTCTGTTGCATCTCAGTGCTGCTGATCTCCTGCACGCACTTCCTGTCTACATGCACTCCAATGCTGGGTTTGTAATGCTAGTAGTAAGTGCACAGATGTGTGTGTTCCCAGTGCTTGGAACGTGCTGGTGTACTCCAATTATCATGTCATTACCATGAAAGCCAGTCATGAGTCTGAACCCAAATTTGGCTGAACCTGGAAGTTAGCTGTCATTGCTGGACCAATGAGCTGCAGGAGAGAGATTATCCACCCCACAACTGGCATACACAAAGGGGAGGGGATGTTCGTGACATCATGGAACCAACATGGGCACATGGCCTTGTTTTGTCAATGCTATTGACCTAGTATAGCCATGTACCCACATTAAGGCACTGATGTCATAAACATCCCTGCCCAGGGGCGGACTGACCATTTGGAAACTCGGCACTGCCCAAGGGCCGGGGTCAGTAGGGGGCCCCATGAGATGCCCCTGGTACCTTTTTCATAGGCTTTTTTGAGTTTGGGCAAGGACACAGTGGCCCCATGATCCCCTATTGCCCGGGGGCCCCATGAGTTTTGTCAGTCCGCCCCTGTCCCTGCCCCTTTCCAGATGCAACGTAGGGAATCTCCCACCTGCAGCTCATTGGCCAGCTAGGACAGCTAACTTCTGGGATGTGACCAAACACTAAAACATCCCTAGTGTACAGACACACTTGCCAGCTGTCTTCTGCCTTTATGTCACTAATCTGGATGATATAGGTAGATCAGGGGACTGACTTTACTAAGAAGAAAGTGAGCAATACCAGACCCTGTATTTCTCTTGTGACAGGTTTCCTTTATCAGGTGAGTTGTAAGAACATTTTGATGAAAAAGAAGACCTGATATATTTTGTACACCTCTGAATAGCCAGTTTTTTCATGTTTCTCTCAAGAAAATTGAACCATTTATTGGACAAGGGCATTTCCAGATGCATTTCCAGTGGATCCACTGCCCAGCCCCTGAGCCCTACTGAGAAATGAGAATAAAATTAGTGAATCAGCAGAGATTAAAGTGACACGTCTTGCTGATATATGATCCCTTTTACCAAGGATGTAATCTACAGTAAATCAGCACAGTAGGTAATTCAAACCTCCAGGAGCCTTTAATTAACCAGCAGATAGGGCTGACTGAGATGTATCGGAAGGATTTTCCCACGTACCTTTAGGGAGCATTTATAAGCACATAGGGAAGAAAATCTATTAAAAAATGCCACCTTTGTGTGTCATTGTCATACATTGAGCTTCTTCTGTCATTGTAAAATCTTTTTAATCCAGAAATCTCTATGTGGATGGACTGATGCATGCTATTCCTGAAATACATTTGCATAGGAGTGTGTAGGCAGTTCATCTTTCTCCTCACACAGTGCCGTGGAAAGTTGCTGATGATCCTTATACTAAACTTGTCATAGAAAGGAGCCTAATATTTTCTCAAAGCATGTATTTAAGAGTGGTTGCACATACTTTACATTCATTTACCCATAAATCTTCTGTTGCATACAGATTTCTCAACTGAAACATTGCATGATCATTAACCTCAAGCCTGGAGAACCATATGTGAAGTGAAGAGGAAAATCATCATACGTGCGCCTATATACACATATCTTTTGAGACAGCAATTAGTCAATGCCTCCATGCTGCAACCTGAAGGACAGATGCCTATGAAGGCATGTGAGACCTGGCCCTATCCTCTGCAGGCAAGAACTTACTTTCACCCATTGACCCCACTGCTCATCCCATGTGGCCTGGTACATGATCCTTTATGGGTCTACTCCATTTCGACTCATGACATGGCACCAGCCCAGAAAGACATACAGTCCTCTGTCTGTGTGGCCACTATTGCATGGCTACTGCACATCTTGCTTCTGTCTTCAGAGATGAACCAAACTTCTCTGAGTTTCAATCGTGTAAAGTTCAGTTGCCAAACCGAACTCCAATGAAGTCAAAGGGAGCAGAATCTGTTATATTAAAAATGCTCGGTTTTCCCCAAGGGTGGAAGAAAACATCACTAGTAGGGTGTGGCGCACTGCCATGAGGAAAATGTACCAATGCAAAAAAAAATTCTTGAAAAAATTCTATTCAGAAAGGAGTAGGGATTTTTGTAAATGTTTAAAGTGAAACATTGAAAAATGTCCAAATCCTTTAAATAACATGCCTGAGGGGTGCCCTAATCCTTCCTGTGATGTACAGAAAATGCCTCTGCAGCACTGATATTTTCAGAAAAAAGTGTTTAACTTTGCCAGCGAATGACATGTCATTGACAGCTTCATAAAACACACACAGAACAGACCCATTGAAGGGTCTGCTATGTATTTGGGTGACTTTTGATGGGGTCTGTGTGCATTTGAATGGCAAATAATGTTGTTTGCCAGCATTTTAAACTGTAGATTTTTTTTCTTAAATGTCACTTTTGTTGTAGCCCATCTTACAGCTAGATTGAAAAAAAATTTGTGTATACCCCCCCCCCCCCCAAAGAGTCTGATGTGGATTTAAGGGAGTACCTTGCACTAAAAAAAAAAAGTGTGAGATCCCCCTGGAAATTCATACAAGGCCCTTCATGTGCATATACAACCAACCATGCCAGTCCACATTCCCTCAACATGGGAGGTTCCATACCAGGGGGTACCTCCCTGACAAAGCACCTTGTCCCATGTTGATGAGGACAAAGACCTCTTTGCCACAACCCTGGCCAAAATGGCTGAAACTCTGCTTTAAATATGGCCAGTGGCCATTCTTGATGATGTTAGTGGTTCCTAGGGACACAGTGATTGCTAGTTATTGCAGCTTGCTTAGGAAATAGTGACAGCTGGAAGCTGTCAGATATAGAAATTATAGATATACTGATTCTTTATATGATTTTCAGCACCTGACAAACAGGGCGCCAAATGGGCAAAAGTTTGGGTGTTCATTTAAATGTCCAAACAGCCAAAGTTTGGTCTGAACTTAGGTTCGAACTAAACTTATCCCTAATCAATTTCCAGCCCTGACCAGCACTCACTTCACTTCCCACAGCACATACAGTATTTTTTCATAGCACCACTGGATACAATAGATATACACTTCATTTCATGCTGAGGATCCTTTGCTGAAATCTGAAGTACAAAACAAAATGTTGATCTTTAGTTTAGACACTTAAAAAGGAAAAACAAAGTTAACTACGTTTGCTGCATCTGTTACTATGAAGCAGTTCTTCTCTAAAATTTGTTTATAGCTGATCTCTGGGCATAACCTCCCCCCACCCAAGTAATTGCTAACTAAATTGAAAAAAAAATTACTTAAAATGTTACTAAACCCAGGACCCTGAATTCACTAAATCTGGTCTCCCACAGTACACAGAACATGGAAATGAAAATATTTTAGTAGATATAAATCGCTAGATACCTTTCCTCATCAGCAGTTAGAGTAGTCTTGTGACTTCTATCAGTGTCCAGCAGACCACTGGTTAAAGCTTGTAGGAGGAGTTTTCATTCTCCCCTGTGAGGCTGTAGGACCCCTGACCCTCTGTCCGTACAGTGCTGATTGACCCTGTGCTGATCATATGCACTCTCCCATGAAAAAAAAACTCTCTAGCAATACTCACCAAACTGAGAATGTGCAGTTTGCCCCCAAGCCTCTGTTCTATCAGGAGATATATTATGGAGATTAGAATAAGGGGAGGATCGGAGAAGACAGGATCAAACATCCTTTTTACATTATATGGAGGATTAAACCCTTAGGTTCCACAGTGAATAGAAGAAGCATGCTTTACTGCATATAAAGACTGATTTTACTATTGTTTATTAACACTTTAACTGAATTTATGGTCATGTAACACCCCTCATCCAAAGTCTTCTTTCTTCTTCATTGCAGAGGAGAAGGGTTCTCATTCAAGGGGTCCACATCTAACGGAGCAATGCAGAAAAGCAGGGAAAGTGAGTATAAGTAGGTCTGAGGAGGTTTAGCAAGAAATTGTCACTTTGTACTGTATAAGGCAAAGGACAGGTTCTGTTTCTGTTTTGCCTGCACTTAATCCCATATATTTTTCCAGTAATCCCATAATTTTAAAAAACTCCTTTGGCAGGTAACACAGAACAAATGGCTGCAGAGTGAAATTACATAGATGGCATGAATTTATTTTTTTAATAAATATAGATATTTAAACATAGTTGTAAGGATGGGGGGGGGGGGGGGGCAGGCTCAACTACTATTGGCAGTAGCATACTATTGAAACACCCTGCTATTATTCAGACCACAGGATGTTAACCACTTGCCCTCCTGGGGATTTACCCCCCTTAATGACCAGGTCTCTTTTTGCTACTCGGCGCTGCACTAATTCAACTGATAATTGTGCGGTCATGCAATGCTGCACCCAAACGAAATTTACGTCCTTTTTTTCACACAAATAGAGCTTTCTTTCGGTGTAATTTAATCACCTATGCGCTTTTTATTTTTCACGCTATAAACATAAAAAGACCAAAAATTTTGAAGAAAAAATGATATTTTTTACTTTCAGCTATAAAAAATATATAGTAAACTCAAAGTTAGTTAAAAATTTAGGCCAAAATGTATTCTGCTACATGTTTTTGGTAAAAAAAAAAATCCCAATAAGTGTATATTGATTGCTTTGTGTGAAAGTTATAGCGTCTACAAACTATGGTATAGATACTGCAATTTACGCCATTTTTTTGCTATACAGCGCTGCGTAGTTTAATGGACAATTGCGCGGTCATGCAATACAGTACATAAATGAAATTTACATCCTTTTTTTTCCCCACAAATTGAGCTTTCTTTTGGTAGTATTTGATCGCCTGTGCGTTTTTTATTTTTTGCGCTATAAAAAAAAAAAGGCTGACAATTTTGAGGAAAAAAAACAATATTTTGGACTTTTTGCTATAAAACATGTCCAGTAAAAAAAAAATTAAAAATCAAATTTAGTCATAAATTTCTGCCAAAATGCATTCTGCGACATGTCTTTGCTACAAAAAAAAACCTCAATACGTGTAAAAATTAATTGGTTTACGTGAAAGTTATAGCGTTTACAAATGGCGGGAAAGATACTGGGATTTTTAATTTTTTTTTATACTAATAATGGCGGCGATCAGCGACTTATGGCGGCAATCAGTGACTTATGGCGGTGATCAGCGACTTATGGCGGGACTGCGGCGGACATTCTGACACTGGGGGGGGACTGACTTGGGGTCACTGACATCCCCAGTGACACCAATACAGTGATCAGTGCAAAAAAAAACCCACTGACACTGTACTAATGGCACTGGGGAGGAAGGGGTTAACTTTATTATTCGGTGAAAGGGTTAACTGTGTGAGGGGAGTGTTTTACTAGGGGGCGGGGGTGCGTACTGCACGGAGACACACTGATCTGGACAGATAAACTCTTCTGTCCCAATCAGCATGTCAGGAGCTGTCAGGGAACTGACAGAGAGCAGAGCTACTGCAGCCCTGCTCTCTGTCAGTGATTGCCACTAATCGCCGGGACACAGCCGGTAACGATCGGCTGTGACCCGGCGACTGACATCCGCGGCCTTGTTTGGCGGGACAGGTAGGGCGGCGGTGTGCCTCACGCGTGCCCC